ACAATGACCCCAAACATACAGCCAATGTCATTAAGGAAGAACAAGGAGTCCTGGAACTGATGGTTTGGCCCCCACAGAGCCCTGATCTCAACATCATGGCATGTGTCTGGGATTACATGAAGAGACAGAAGGATTTGAGGCAGTTGACATCCACAGAAGATCTGTGCTTAGTTCTCCAAGATGTTTGGAACAACCTACCTGCCGAGTTCCTTCAATAACTGTGCAAGTGTACCTAGAAGAATTAATGCTGTTTTGAAGGCAAAGGGCGGTCACACCAAATACTGATTTGATTTGGATTTCTCTTCTGTTCATTTACTTTCCATTATGTTCATTGATAGAAATAAACTATTGACACTTTGATTTCTGAAAGCATTCTTACTTACAGCATTTTTACACACCTGCCCAAGGCTGGGCACACACCTTACAACCATCACAAGACTTTTGTCTTGCGATGGTTGTAAGGTAATTAAAAAAACTTACAATCTGCATATCTTGGACAGGCAGATCGTACTTGCGATGATGGTAAACTTGCCCCGCTGAGGGGCGGGCTTCTGATGACCGCAATGCCGAACGGGCAGTGTGCGCTTGCGCACACCGGCCCGACCGGCTTTTATCTTACGAACATGCTACACACCCGCCGAACATCGTACGAGTCTCGGCGGGTTTTCGAACATGTTCGTAAGATAAAAGTCGTGCGACCTTACAGTAGTAGAGGTCGCACGGCTTCCACACACCTTACGATAATTGTACGATTATCGCAAGGTATGTGGGCACCTTAAAAGGTGCCCATACACCTTACAATTATCTGCAGATTTTCTGTGGTCAGATGGAAAAAGTGCAACAGGTTGGCTCAGGTGGAGATTACTCCATACACACAGTTAAGTGTAGATGGAGGAATCTGCTGCACCTTTTCCATCTGACCACAGAAAATCTGCAGATAATTGTAAGGTGTATGGCCAGCTTAAAACTTTTGCACAGTAGTGTGTGTGTGTTTGTGTGTGTATATACACACACACACAGTGTGTATAGTAAAGTACCTCAGCGCTGAATACTGAAAAATGGCCTGGACAGGTGTACAATGTGCCACATGTAATGAATAGTATAAAATATATCCAGATCTGATCCCCAAAACATATAAAGTGCACAACAATAGTTCAATAAGATATATAAAGTCCAATTCTTCAGTTATTCTTCAGTTCTTAGTGATACAGTATCTTTGCGTTCACTTCCACCACATTTGTGCTTTTTAGTCTTCTTGTACCTGCTTCTTTATAGACACTTAAGTGTTTCAGTCCTCCACCCAAAACTGGACACATACTCACCTCCTCAGGTGGACCTCATCTTCATAGATTAGGTCATATCATCCTTCAATAGTATAAGGTACATCCAAATTCTTTGCTTTAGGTTCCCTCGATCATACAAATGGAAGGGCTCATCACTTACACTTCGTCAAGGGTCACGTCACCACGCTAACCGGGACCGGAGCAGAAGAGCATATACTGTTCAGCTTCAAAGTTTATATAAACTCTAACAATGATCTTCTCTTATTTGCTCCCTTATAATCTTGAACATATATAATTGAAAGTATGTTGTTATTTGAGAAGTGCAAAAAAACTGTTGACCTTGTTAGAAATTCAGAGGTGTCCTGTGTCCTATGCGCACTTTCTGTATTATCCCAAAGAAGCTATTTAGCCCCCCAGGTTCTTATCATGGATTAGAGTTCTAAGAGTGAAAGCTGTTGAGTAGTTTAGCAAAAGACATTGGGCAGGGCTGACACCACTCAGTTCACAAAAAAGCTGTGAGTTGTCCACAATGGGACATAAGAACTGAGTGCATTTGTGGCAGATCAGCAGGTGCATTTCTGTACTTGCAGGGCCTTTAAAAGGGACAAAACACAAAAGTGTATTTATTGTAGAAATGTAAAGCCTATTTTTGTATTGTTCCTAGACATGCACTGTCTTTCCAAAGCTTTTATTTAGAGTTTCCCATTTAAATGTTTCCGTCTATAAACATTATAAATCATATTCATATAATACAAATTCTGAAAAACCTCTATTAGAAACACTACATATCATGTGACTTCTTACGCAACAAAAGGAAATTCTATTATAATTGTTTGCTCAATAAATGAAAATACAGCTCCAGTGAGCTCAGCCATTACGGCATACTATCTCCATGACTAACAATCACAGGTTATAATCCACGGGCATCTCTACTATATGTCATAAAGGCAGCATGTAAAATAAGATGTGGGCTCCATCTGGTGTTTGCTGGAAGAAATGACAAAAGACAATGGCGGGTTTTTTTTTTTTTTTTAAAGTGGACACTTTATAAAAATGAACATTATTCTGAATAAATAATTTAAGGCTAAAACTGGGTTAAGGCTGATACATTACAGAGTGGGTACAAAACAGAGTTATAAACAAAGTACCTACAAAGAAGAATAATCCAATAGAACATAATACCTAATGATCTTTGCAGTAGTGGAAGTCACATGATTACAAACAGCATAAAATAAACATAAATAGCAGCATATATGAGGGGGAATGACCATGGGACTTGACTTACTGGGTGCCCCTGGTAAGTAAATCTATAATGGTCATAAAGCCACTTTCCTAACCACTAATGTAGTTCTAGAACAACTATGCTAACTGGTAGCTGCAGCCAAACTTCCCAAGATTTATTTTCTGCAAAAATTCAGAACATTTACTGACATGTCAAATTTTTACTGGCAACCTCACATGAACCCATATCACATACTAAATCCACCAATATTACTCATATCTCATACATGGCTACACTAGAGAGATTGTCCCCAAATCACTGTCCCCGTGACCACAGCAGAAGTACTGGAAAATCTGCAAAGAGGATGCAGAGAGTAATGAAAAGATCAAGAACCTTCCCCATCCATACTTAAAAAAGAAAAAAAATGGTGTTGGAGACATTACCTTCATTTCTATCTGGTGAAACCGATATCACTTGGACAATCAGTGAAGGGAAATCTCTTTAATGTTTACCCAGATAACAGTAAAACCAGACAGTGGCTCTCATCTCTCTCCCCACTCTATGCAAAACTAAAACAAATTTGGATGGAAATTTATAACACGTAATGTTGCCAAAGGCATGTCTCTACTTTACCATGCCCATTACAAGAGGCCACAAACACGCTGCAAGAGACACCTGGGAGACCATAGACATGTTGCATGACACAAATCGAGACCAATGACATGCTGCAAGAGACAGATAGAGACATGCTGCATGACACAAATAGAGACTGATGACATGCTGCAAGAGACGGATAGAGACATTATGCATGACACAAATAGAGACCGATGACATTATGCATGACACAAATAGAGACCGATGACATGCTGCAAGAGACGGATAGAGACATGATGCATGACACAAATAGAGACCGATGACATGCTGCAAGAGACGGATAGAGACATGATGCATGACACAAATAGAGACCGATGACATGCTGCAAGAGACAGATAGAGACATGATGCATGACACAAATAGAGACTGATGACATGCTGCAAGAGACGGATAGAGACATTATGCATGACACAAATAGAGACCGATGACATTATGCATGACACAAATAGAGACCGATGACATGCTGCAAGAGACGGATAGAGACATGATGCATGACACAAATAGAGACCGATGACATGCTGCAAGAGACGGATAGAGACATGATGCATGACACAAATAGAGACCGATGACATGCTGCAAGGGACAGATAGAGACATGCTGCATGACACAAATAGAGACTGATGACATGCTGCAAGGGACAGATAGAGACATGCTGCATGACACAAATAGAGACTGATGACATGCTGCAAGAGACAGATAGAGACATGCTGCATGACACAAATAGAGACTGATGACATGCTGCATGACACAAATAGAGACTGATGACATGCTGCAAGGGACAGATAGAGACATGCTGCATGACACAAATAGAGACCGATGACATGCTGCAAGGGACAGATAGAGACATGCTGCATGACACAAATAGAGACTGATGACAATTGCAGCACATGAAAGTCAAACTGCAGGAATACAAAAAAAAAATATTAAAGTGACAGTGCTAAAATTGATTGACAGATATAGAAATACTTTCCTTATCAGAAACTGTAACCAACACACTGTGTCACATGGGGGAAAAAAAACTTTACTTTACCCAAAAAAATCATACAAGGAGGAAGGAAAAAAGTCTTCATGTTCTGCAGAACTTTTGATTGTATACCAGGACTGTAGCAAGTCTACCTTCTATGTTCATACTGCATGTGAGAGGGCAGGCACCTAAACCGAGCAGCATGTCCTGTGCCATTTTGAGGCCTGAGACCAGTAAACTCCTTACTAATCATCAGATGTTCTTTCAAGAAAAGAAATAATGCAGACTGCCTTGGTTTGTAACTTTTACTGCTTTAGAGGGTGATTTGGGTAAATGAAAAGAGCAAAGTGGGAGTTGTCCAGTTTTGCATCGTGAAAAGGGAAATGCTTCAATCCGGCACCCCAAATTCACAAGAATTAAGCTAATCTAAATACTGCACAAAAAAGATTTTATGTGTGCAGTAATCATGTCCAATATAGTTGTTGGTATTCAAGGCTGGAACAAGTGATGATTACAGCCAGTCAAACATTAGGACCATAAATAAATAAATACATGTCAGTAGTACAACTTTTCATCTATCAAAGCAAACCAAAGGTTTTTAAAATCTTCATGAGAAATGTCAACACAAACATGTCAATAGTGGCATTAAATATTCAACATCAGTAACGTGCCGTCTATTACATTTAACAGTCATTTATTGTAGTCCAGTACCAGCAAAGAGGTAGCATAATAAATGACTGCTAATAAAATATGCACACTAGTATACAGAAATATGTCTTTCACAGACTACAGACAAATAAATAATCACATCTGGACATTTTTCAGAAGCTAAGCAGCCGACACAGCTAAAACCGCACAGCTGACATATGACTTTTTAGAGCTTTTCCTCTAGTAGTCAGGGGAAACACATGATGTCATGTGGTCTACAAGAATCTACTGGCTCCTAGACTGGACTGATTGCCTTTACCTTTACATTAACTTGTGCACCTTGTGAATAAATTGGCTATTTTGGTAAATACCAAAAATATACATATTTATAAAATATATTAGTATAAAAGTTTGTGAGTATTGCCTTGTCACACCCAGTATTGATTAATTTTAAGGGTGGGATTCGTTTTTCTGCAATGTTGTATCATTTCTGGGTCCATCTGCAACCAGGTCTTCTGATGAGTGTCACCACCAAACGGTGGAGCAGAATTTGTAAGTAAATGGTCATGCCTGGGTGGCAAAAGGGGGCTTGCAGAGCAATAATCATCGGGTTTTTGTAGGGGAGTTACAGTCACGCATGGCACAGTGGTACTTCTTTCAGTGTATGGAGAAGGAACCTGAGGTACCATGCTGTAGGAGTGGCTTCTGACATGAGGTTGAGCCTTTTTTGCCCTTCGTTTCCTAAGAAGAAACCAAACAATAAAAATAATGGCCAGCAACAGGACAATGAGAACTACCAGAGGAATTATGATTGAAAGAGGGTTGGTTTGGCTAGGTTCTGCTTCAGGACTATCTGTAGTTTGTTTAATTGTGGTGTCTTGAACAGAAGACCTTGTGGTTGTTACATCCAGAGAGGGAGTTGGCTCATCATGTCTTTGATTTCCCCATCGATTGCGATTGCCAAACCTCTTTATGGGAGCTTCTGTTACATTTATGTTCAACCAGTGACTGGTTGTCCTTTTCTCATGGCTAAGGCCAGTGTACAATAGAGCAGATGTGGTGACTGAAATAGATGCTACAGTTGTTGAAGAGTCTATAAGTGCTGGATCATACGGGACCACAGAATAAGTGAAGTATCCCAGAGCGGGTGGCACGTTCTTAGCTTTTAGCATGAAGGCAAATGAATCGTTGATCATATCCTGATCTGTCACATTGGCATCAACATGCAACGATATATGTCCAGCTTCAATGTCACTATGTGTGAACTTTTCAATGTCTTCATATGTGTCTTTTTTAGACATCTTTCTTCTTACTAGTCTACCATATGTCGGTGCATTTACTACGGAGTATTCTGGGTCACTGCTGGTCAAAGTCGCTAGTTCTGTTGCATTCAGGTCCCCAGTTTTTAAAATATACTTTACACCTGTTGGTATTTTTAGTCCAACAGCAATATCTACTAGAGGCTCCACAGTGATGTTTAGCACCTGTCCTGTGAGATTGCTTTCTGAAGTAAAGATGATCAATTCTAAACTGTCTTGAGATACAGTAAAGTTGCTCATGAGGTATGTTACTTTGCCAGAATCTATTTCTAACTGATCAAAGTTTGTCACAGGTGTGTTGTTAATTAAAATACTGCCAAATCTGGGTGGCTCTGACATCTCAAAATTAATCACTGTGCTCTTTCCATCTGTAGTAGCTGCTAGATTTGTATTTGTAACTGTTGCAAAGGTCTGTCCTTGGACAAGGACTAGATTTGTTTTGTTAACCAAAGTTATGGAAACTGGTGTAACATCTAGATTGAAAAGTTTATATAATGGTTTATGTTTGCCATCTGTCACACTGAAGTAGAACACTCCTGAGCTTGGGCTTCCATCTTGTACAAACCAGAGGTCTCCATTATTAATATCTGCTTGTGTAAAATGCTGAATGGTTTCATTTAGGTTGTCCAATTTGGCCAAGAAGCCATTATTTGGTGCACTTATTACTGTGTATGTTATATCTTCTGGAGGATTATCCAGATCTTCAACATTCAGGTTTTCTGGGCCTAAGGCCACCATTTTCCCTTGCAGAACTCTAAGAATGGGCCGTTTTGTTTTAAGCTCGGGTGGTTGGTCATTAACAGGTATTACAGCGATATTAAATATCTCCTCTATAACATCAAAGTCTGGCTTAACAGCAGATTTACTTTTTAAATTGAGCCATGTGGCAAAAGTGAAGTTATCTGTAGGTGACTCTGCTCCATTGTGTGCATAGGTAATCCCAAATTTATTGACAATGTACTGGGAAAAGTTGGGCTTTTCTTTAGTGATATTCCTGTCTCCAACTATGATCACACCATGTTTGGGTAACGTGGTCACCTGGAACCAAACTTCGTATGCGGCTCGTTGAGATTCTGGCAGCCTGACTAGCAGATTGGAGGCATCCAGCTTTGACTTGTCTATTTGAATTTTTTGTCCTTCCAAAACAGAAGCACCTATACAAAATAATGAAAGGGGATTATAAGGTGGAAGCTTAAACAGAATACTCAATTCAAAAACCTCCAGCTAGTTTTCAAGAGCTCACATGTAATCTTTCTGGATACCAAGCAACTATACGGAGCTCATAGATTTATCACAGCAGAAAGTAAGTATTCATGGGTGCCTATTGTGACAGACTAGACACGTTAGAGATGCCCATAGAAAACATTACCTAACAAGCTGAATTGTTCTCTATTTTGCCCATGTTCCTAGAGGTCAAATTATCACACAGCTACCCAGGTAGCACAATGCAGATAACAGGCATAATCACAGAGGTGAGAATCTGACCAGTGGCTTTAATATAATGTACTTGGTTAGTGAAGGATGACTCAAGAATATTCCAATTTTATTTGTTTTTCATTATATAAGGTTTTGCTTATACCACAATTATGTGCAAAATATTGTTTCTAACTATTGTAAGCACAAAGGAAGTGCAGGCCTAGCAGAAGACAGAAAGACTTGTTTTGAGCTGCATCTACATTTTTGTCCTCTGTACCCCTTTTGTCACCGCCAGCCTTTTGAATTAAGCAGAATAGAGACAGGAAGAGGAGAATTCACAATTAAACCATGTAAACATTTGTTGAGGGAAGCCTGATTTTATAAGAATATTTTCTTTATCTGTTTGGGGAATACCTTTTAATAATTATAACAAAAAAGTACCATTATTTGCAATGAGGCGGGTTGGCCTGTTCGGATCATCAATCTCATAAGATATAGCGATGAGGAACTTCTGGTTTTCTAGCATGGCAGGAGGTGAGACCACCGTGAAAGAGAAGGAATCCTGTGTACTCCACACTACAGCTTCTGTATCTTTATGTTCATACAAGATCATCCCCTCATCAACCTGTGCAAGACAGAAAAGATCCTAATTTCTCACTGAAGGTAAGTGAAACAACATTGTCATAAAAAAAATCATTGTTAAAGCAACAATACTTTGTCAAATGACAGTAATCAGATGCTTACAACGCAGGACTATATTTCTCTATGACCATGGGTACTAGCAAAACCGGTTTACAACACTTCTAGAGGGTTCAACCAGCATTTTCTACTGGGGCCTGTGAACAAAGTGTCCATGCACACACACCTTCACGGGTACAGAACAAATATGGAGAGCAAATGGCACAGGTATAATTCGACATCTTGGTGTACTAAGGCTTTGGCGGTGGCTGTTAAGACTCACCATGCACTGCACCAGGCAAGTAGAATGAACAGTCCTCTCCATTAGACATTCTTGGTGACATATCTGCTTGTCTATGGCTCGCCTAATAGTGATATTAGCCACTTTTTGCATTCTTTGCAAAAAACACAACAACAAAAAAAAAAAATACCAGTTCATACCAGAGTCTTGTGAGAGATTGGGTTTGAAAACGTTTTGTTTAAAATAACATTTTGCATGCCATGTGACGATAGCAGTGCAGTGGTAGGAAGTGACCAAGCAGTCCTTTTAGCATGCTTATTAGAGGGCTTTTAGCCTTGTATGGCAGTGCGAGCCAGATCACCCACAAGGAGAACTGGCCCGGTAGACATCAGGGAGCCCACTCCTCCTCCAACCAGCTCCAACTCTCCAAGTCCTCCCTGGAGACTGCATGCCTAGCACAGAAGCTCGCCTCCCACAGCTAAAGTTTCTCAGCCTAGGCTGTACAGACAACCTCCACAAGTGAAAATGCAGCTGATACTGGATAGGTTGGTTTCAGCAGAGCAAACTTTTGATACAATACATGAATAGTTAGGCAGCAGTAAAGGTCTCATACTAACAAATCAGGTTACACCATCAAAATAAAGCAAGGAATCTGATTGCTACGGGCAACAGTTCAAACACTGCTGTAGTTAATTTTACATATGTTCTCAAAAATTAGCTTCATGGTCTGATGTGTTTACAGATCTGCTTTGTATTTTAGAACAGCTCTTAGACTGTCCCCACAATAATGTATATAGTGTAAATGGCATATAAAATGAAGCTCACCATCAACTGGGTAAAGCTCGTCACTTCTCCTGTTGCATTTTCCAGTTCCAATTTTAAGATTCGCCCATGTTTTGGAGGGCTGGACACCTGGAAGGTTATTGTCCTGTTATTCTTGTCACTCTGATCATTGGTAAAAGCTTTTAATACCTCAGAAGATATGACCCTCCGTGTTCCTGGACAATGAAAACATATATATGAATTCATACTGCACCATGTACACCAAATGTATAGATAAGGATCCAAGTAGTAAATAGAAGAAGCGCAACACTAAATAACACAAAGAACTTCTAATTTAACCCTTTTACAACCAGAGGACCTTAAAGCTTACACACCCAGACCAAATTTAGTAGCGTCAGCTTGACTATAGCTCTGTGACTAATGTTTCAGTTTGACAGTGAGGCAGTAAAACATGCACAGTTAAGCTGGCCAAACACTAAGGGAATTTCGGCTGGTTCTCGAAAATTTGCAGTGGGCTTCAGTCAACACCTTTTCGGTTGACATCCCTCGATCAGCTGATCGAAGGAGCCGGTTGGAAGATCTTCAAATGAACAAAGGCGGCAGCCAATCAGCTGCCAACTCTGATTGGGTATGCTGACAGCAGCTGGCGGCCACCATCAGAATACAATGAAGTCAGCGGGAGATTGCTTGATCAACACTCATAAGCATTGATGGAGGAATCTGTTATATGTTCTTTGTTCTTACAAGCGTTGATCAAGCAATCTCCCGCTTAGATTTTCTTTGTTCAGGCCGCAGGTTGAATAAAGAAAATATTACAGTGTATGGCCAACCTTACACATTCCTAATTTACTGCTGCAACACAGTTAATGTTTATTAATGTGACATTGGCAATTGTGTGTGAAGGTTTAAAAAGGAATATTGTGGTCATAAACTGATTAAACACTTTACATTAAATCTTTAGCGACTAAATTATATATTTCCAAGAATTAATCAATGTTTGTTTTGTTTTATTGTTTCTTCAAAGGAAGGATCTAAAAGCCTAACCCAAAAACATAAATTAAATATATTGCAGTTTACCAGCCCTTAAATGTGGCGGCTGCATTTCTCTTTTTTTATGTTTTCTTTACCTGGTGATCCGGCCAGTAAGGCCTCATTCACACACAACGCAAGAGCAAAATTGTATGCATATTTGTAAATGCGTATAATCGCGTATATATGTGCGTGTATGTATGCGAGTATAGGCGTGAATTGTATGCAAACCCAACATGCATAATTTTTCATAGAAACTTTAATGTACTGTATGCGCGTAATACACGCAGAAATTCAGAGCCCTCGCTTCCACTTCCACGCATCTCGCTTCCACTTTATTTTTGCGCATCTTTACGCAGCGCAAAAATACGCCTCCATACGGCAATGTGAATGAGGCCTAACACACATCCTGATGTGTTAGGGTGGCTCCACTCTATGGAGGAGCAATGGAGCCAGCCTTGTACAGCAGCACTGTGGAGAGGGCAGTGTTGGGTGCACCTACGTACAATAATGATAATTGCGCCCATTGCACCGCACTTGTTATATATCACAGTGAACATCAGCGCATGAGCCATAATCGTGGGGCCATCAATCACTGTTAACACTTAACTGATGAGCAGTAAAAGCTTTTAAAGCGTCACCTATGGTCAATTTTGGGAATGGTAGTTTTTCGTGATTTTGCGAGTGCGCGCAATTTTAAAACTTGACGTGTTTGGTGACTATTTACCCAATGTGGCCCCGTCTTTTATATTTGATCAAAAATTTGGGTCATAATAAAATGTTTGAAAACATAATACCTTTTTTTTCCCAAAACTTTTTGGCACTTTTTTGTTAGATAGTAAAAAATAAAAATCCCAGTGTTGATTAAATACAACAAAAATAAAGCTCTATCTGTCCCCCAAAAATCATATAAAATGAATTTCGGTACAGCGTCGCATGACGGAATGAATGTCAGTGAAAGTACCTCAGCGCTGAATACTGAAAAATTGAATTTGTGCTGCTGTTGTTAATGCTTCAAATCTTTCAGTCAACAGCATTTCAGCATGTCTATGTGGAAGACAGGAGCACACATGTGCACTGCGAGGGATAGTGGTTGGATTCTTAGCAAACATTCAACTGACTCCTATTATTAGCATTAGGTTACCACAAAATCAAAGACCATATAACGCTGTGGACTGCCTTACGTTTACAATACTGAGTAAGGCCCTTTCAGACCAGCTGATCAGGAGAGGATCCGTCAACAGATCCTCTCCTGATCACAGCAGTATAGATCGGATGTCACCGCTGTTACATCCATGTCCGTACAGTTTTTTCCGCCATCTTGCGATGGGAGGAAAAAATGGAAAGTGCCAGACCCCATGTGTGTCTATAGGGAATCTGAAGTAAACAGACAGGTGTCCCCACCACGATCCGGTCCGTCGAAAGAAGTTCTACAAAAAAAAAAAAAAAAAAAAGGTTATTGATATAGTTGTGGAATTTACCTGGAAATACACCAAGACCTTTATTTACTTCAAGATTTATAACCAGGGTTCTTGCAGTGATGCTGAAAATTTGTCTTGGTGCAAAATTCAAACTATCTGTAACCTGGAAGTTGAAACCCCCAGACATTGGTCCTGAAAGACAACCGACAAAGAGCACAACATCAGCAACCCTGGTGATTTTACCTCAAAGGCTGGTTTGGTAAACCATGAGTGTTCCTGCACCACAAGGGAGTGTCATGTAACCTTCTTCATTTTCCTAACTGGTTCTGGTAAAAACATTTCAACCAGTTAACAGCAAATTACAATTATGAATCAGAAATGTATTAAAATGGAACAGCATGTCCATTTCCCAACAGTTGGAATACTTACCTACTGTCTGGTGCTGTCCCCAGCAAACTCACCACTCCTTATTGCCATTCTTCTTCTGACTGATGGTCAATGTCATCCAACCCACTTCCTTTGAGCCCAGGCTGTCAATTACATCACGCAGCCCGGTCTCACATGAACTGAGCGGTGGTTACATGTGCCCGCAAGAATGCTGCTCGGTCTAGGATGAAGGACTGTCCACTGAAGTGAAAGGACCTGTGATGTCACTAAACTGCAGGGAAAAGGTATTGATAGAGATATTTTTTTTTTTTCCCCAAACAAAAAAAAAAAAAACTGGTTTGAAGGAGTAGAGAGAATGAATATAAAGCTTCACAATAATACTATAATGCTTGCTGTAAAGTGGAACATTCTAAAACTCACTTCTCCAGCAATGCGATTTTCACAAGCTTTCTCGCCAGTGCCATCATCTTCTCCCCAGCTTCTTCTGGGTTCAGGGACTTCAGCCATCTTGATTGGTCAAGCAAGGATGGTCAAGCAAGGATGGCATAACTCAAAAAAAGAAATGAAATGATCTACAGAAGATCAGATCAAATACAGTAGAATGAGGGTCGGAATGCCAACTGTAGTACAAAAATATTAATTTTATTTGTCATATTTTAAAATACGGGTCATGAACACAGACCAGCAATCCACCACCAAAAACCCAGGGTTAAAAAACAGTTAATGATCAAAAACACACTCACTACAAAGACAGACAACCATGGACCAGCTGATTAATGTGAGCATATGAACCGGTGTAGCTCTAAAAAATAAGGCTGATATTGCTGAATGAAAAGATATGTTACAATATCACAAATAACACTCTATTTGCTGCTGAAGGCAAAGTATCCTTTCCCGGAACTACATGGTGCATGTGAGTACTCATATGTTGGACTTTTAAATGGTACACTTGGAGATTTACTTCTGTTGTGCTCACACACGAGGAGACCATTAATCTTTACATTTATGGGACGTTATCACAGCAAACAGAGCTGGTTTTGCACAAGGACCCCTGTATCCTATTTGCAGCAGTATACAATCAACTGAAACTTCAAAGAAAACTGTTTAGCAACATCATTGCACAGAGCGCACATTGACTTCCATATTACTTGGAAAGGATACTTTACCTTCAGCAGCAAATCTAGTGTTATTTGTGATATTGTAACATCTCTTTTCATTCAGCGCTGTCAGCCTTATCTTTAGAGCTACACTGGTTCATATGCTCACATTAATCAGCTGGTCCATGGTTGTCTGTCTTTGTAGTGAGTGTGTCTTTGATCATTAACTGGTTTTTAACCCTGGGTTTTTGGTGGTGGATTGCTGGTCTGTGTTCATGACCCGTATTTTAAAATATGACAAATAAAATTTATATTTTTGTACTACAGTTCCGACCCTCATTCTACTGTGTTTGATCTGATCTTCTGTAGATCATTTCATTTCTTTTTTCTAGTATGTTTCTCACAGTAGAGGGTTGTTGAAAGCCCCAAACTATAGTGATTCTTTTCCCCAGATAGGGGTTAATGTAAATTGGGTCTGGACTCTGGTTGTAAAACTCTCTTTTTAAGGATGGTATAACTCCCACGCATGCGCAGCTCACTGTACATCCTAAAGCATCTTGTGAGGATGAAGGTAAGGATGCTTTATTGTAGAAGAGACATTGTCCCTACTGCAATAAAAATCCTTTCTGCTGGCAAATTGAGAAAATATGGGTTAGGTTTCACTTTAAAACTTGCTAACTTGATGATAAAAATAGGTATTCAGTCTGGGAATTTTGACCTTATTGGCTTCATACTTGTACCAAGTCTCTGAAAAAAAAATGAAGTCAGACAGCCTTAAAGGAGATGTGACGGGAGGACGCTAGTTTGTGTCCTCCTGTTACCCTAAGGAGACCTATGGGGAAAAACCTTACCCACATTAGTACTCCTTTAATAAAATATACATTAAAATGATATGCATAGCTCAGTGAATGATGCAGTGATTGCACATGCCTGTAAGGTTATGTGCATCCACACATTAAAATTGGCCCCCCTATACTGCACAGAACAGGTGGGCAGACCTGTGACCTAATGAGCTAAGAGGTGAAATTTCCCAGGAGATAAAAAAAATAGGTAAATAATACATTTCAGCTAACACTTCCAAAATTCTACTATGCTTCTTTGAACCAATATTTCACAATATAAGAGATTGGGAGACACATGTACACGGAAATCCACCATAAACTAGAAAAAAATTAAATAATTCGCTCACCATTGTGTACAAACACCAGATGCCCATCATTTATGTGCTGCTGGGTGAAATTGAGAATGCTCCGATTTGGATAGGATTTGAGTGCCAGGTAACCATTGCTAGGCGGTGTGATAAAGAACACCAGGTCAGCTGGGGGCGTGTCCTTATCTTCAGCCAACAGATCATTAGATGTCACTTCAGTCACTGAGCCAACCCAGACCTAAAAGACAAGCGAAACAGGTGCTTTATATCAGGTGCTTTATATATCACGGTATGTCTTCATAGATCCATGTTACGGAGCTTCAAACCCTATTGTACCTTTCATATTATCAGACGTTTACCTTTGTAAAGCTAATAAACTGAAACACCTCCAGGACGTCTGCACATTTATTATCAGTACTGTAAATGTAAGCAGATTTCCTATATTAAGCATATTTAACTTTGCAGAGGGATAAAATATTGATTATATTTCAATGAACCTGAGAAACCTTTGCCTACTACATGGCAGGAAAAAACCCCAAACATTTATTTTGATATTAAAGCCCAATGCAAGGCACCACCAACTTTATAGTTTTTGAGGGCTTAGTATGCATTTTTTTGTGCATGTAGTAATCTAATATTTGCTTTCAGTTATTGCTTAGCAGTATCTGATAATACAGCTCCAACTATACCTATGGCCTCTGCCAAAAACAATACTGGGGTCTGTCATACTTGCAACGCTTATGCTGGTGGGGGGCGTTAAGTACAGTAGGGCTGCAACCAACTAATCGATAATGAGAATTGTTGTCAACAATTCTCATTATCGATTAGTTGGTGTGGATTCCGTAGTTCTCTCCTCCACGATGGGCACCAGTGTTTCATTGGCTCCATGGACACAGACCCCTGCATTCATTCGAATGGCTGCCAAAACGTGCCGCACGCAGTGCAATTGCCGCACTGGAATGACCGGTACCGCAATGCCGTGCATTACAGTGTTTTTTAAAAATTGCTTTATTCTGAAGTAAACTTGTTTGTAAATAGGACGTTCTCTAGGGGAATGCATGTTCGAGACCTGCATTCCCCTTGAGAACGTCCTAAGTGACAAAACGCGTCGGGGCAGGCCTATCTGATGTCACAGCTAATGCAGAAGTAAGCACGGGTGTTCTTGGGATATAAGCCGGCTGGTTTTTTACATGTGAGTCTCTACTTTGTTTTATCAAATAAACTGTTTATACTGCGCCATGAGGAGTTCCCTTTGATTTTTTACCGCATGTGGAACAACATCTCTTAACATATGGGAGAAAAAGCTGGGGACCTTTTGATCCAATACCGACTTCAGGCTACCTACAAAGTTTAAAACGATGTTTATGTGGTGATTGCGCATTGCCCCAGGTGGATTCATGTGTGGCACTGGGAGGATTACTAAGCAAGTTTTAATCTGGATGGTTATTTATCCAGTCTTATGTCACACCAATTCGAATGTATTTACAGTATACACGTTACTTTGAGGTACACCTCTTCTGTATAATATTGTTTGCACAATATTGGTATATTTGTTAACATGCATATATGATTTTGCATAGGATTTGAGTTCATATTAATATTTTTTAGTTGCACCAGGGTATCTAGTGCCACACAATCGCTATTCACATTTGGGACTTGTTTGTCTATATTGTGGCAGCTTTATCACCCATAGCAGGGAATATCATCCACAAGCGCAGATCAACAGACTTAATAAACTTGTTTGTAACACTCTATTTGTGTATTTTAAATAAAAGATAGTATTTAATTTTTTTTATCGGAAAAATCGAAAAAATAATCCGCCGATTAATCGATTATGAAAATAACCGTTAGTTGCAGCCCTAAAGTACAGCCAGAGCTGTACTATCTGGTGAACCTGAAAAGCAATGTTTTTAGGCTACAAGAAAGCAAAGATTAGACTGTTGGGGTTTAATAAGGAGTTGCGCTAATATTGCGCAACATAAAAATTTTCAACTACCACCATTTTATTCTATAGGGTCTTGGCATTCAGAAAATATATAATGTTGGGGGGTTTTACGTCATTTTCAGGCCTAAAATGTGGAATATAACATGGGTGCAAAAATGGAAAAAAGGGCCTCAGTCATGAAGGGGTTAAAGCTGAACCTTTAGTTTAAAATTAGCTAAAATAGATTCTAGATGCATCACAACAAAAGGTGTTTAATATATTAAATTTTTTGTTTTTGTTTTACCAAAGCAGTGACAGTCTGGATAGAAAAGCCTGCCCCTTGCCAGCAGCTGCAGCGTGGGCGCTCTACTTTCAGTGAGAAAGCAGTGATCTCTCTGCAGAGGTCTGGCATGCCCCCCGCTGATTCAGAGCCAGAGCTCTCTAATCTGGAAGGAGCAAGATCTTTGCTTATTGCAGAGCTGTAGGTTTGACTATGGCAGTAGGGACTTTGCACACCTTTTGTTTAAATACACCTGGAATGTTTTTTTTTTGTGGCCAATTGTTATATTGGTGGGGTTTGCACTATTTGATTTATGGACTACAATATCAATACAAATAAGTACACTAAATGTGAGATTGTAGTCCATCACAGGAGGGAGCTCAGAGCGCTGGCTACTTTAAACACATACAGGGACCATGGGGAACAAAAGTAGCCCCCCTCCAGAAGGAATTCAGAGATGATTTGAGGATCTACAGTTTAGTGATACACAAATAAGATACATTTATTTCTGTTAATAGTTAGGGTACTTGAATGTATTTTTAGGATTTACCTCTTGAGTTTAGTGTCACTTTAACTATACACTGCATAATAATATTTACATATATTTCTGTACACTGGAAATGTATTTGCATTTGTACTAATACTATTGATGGGTTATTGCATCCACTGTATGTTAATATTCCTATCAACACTGCATGATATACAGATAGGCACTGGAAGAATCTATAATTCCAGAATAAAATCATTAAAAAATAGAACATTAAAATGTCACAAAAATGCTTTCAAGTAACAGATTCACTTTATAACAGTCATGGTAAGCACACTGTGCTACCAAAATCAACATGGTTCTAATGTTAAATGTTAGATCCACGTTGTGTTACTGCAGAAACATGACAAACAAGTGAAGTAAACTTACTAGAACCCAACAAAGGAAGAACACAAGAAAAACCTGGGCTGGCTCCTGTGGTACAATACAGACAGTTCAGTATCAGTGTGGGGTCTCTTCTCTATTTTACATACTTACTCGAAATATGTTGTTGGCTGTTATCACTGGGTGTTCATCATTAATGGGAATAACAGACACAAAAATGGCCTGTGGGAGACTTTGCTTGGAAAGCTCTGTATTATTCAGAATTATTGTAAAATTATCCTGCAAGATTTCACTATCATCATGGACATAATAGATTAGTTCCTGCTCCACCTTTAAAAAAAAAAAAAAGAAAAATGATATATGTAAACATATTACTGGTACATTGGGAGATAAGCAAATAAAGTAAAAATAAACCAGATCAGCTATGTATTTATTCAAAATAATTTAATACAATTAAATATGATTAAAGCCCAAGTCTGGACACCATGATTCTACTAGGTTCTGCTGTGTTCATATGTCTTTACCTGAACTCTGATTGGTTGTTGTGAGTTAGAGATGGTTCACAGTTTTATATTTTAAATTGTGTGCATTTTTTAAAGTTTTTCTCTTGCGTTAGTCACTCATCTCTGTGTTTATTTTACAAGTTGGAGGTTACTTACTGAGTTACATTTCATTCATCCCTAAGACCAATATGTTTTTGTCAAAATGCTCCCCAAATGCTATTTACAGGAAGTTTAGAGAATACACAGATGAGAAAAACCCCAGTAAATATAATGGCAGGGATCTTAAAACCCTAATTACTGCCAAAAGCAAAACAATAATAAATATTGTTATTAATATAATAAATTCGTTCCAAATCAGCCAATGTGATTTGTCTAGATTTGTTTTCTCATTTTGTCTCTCATAGTTGAGGTCTACCTATGATGCCAATTACAGGCCTCTCTCATCTTTTTAAGTGGGAGAACTTGCACAATTGGTGGCTGACTAAATACTTTTTTGCCCCACCGTATATTGCAACTTGCTAGTTAGATATGGTGGCTGCATTCATTTTTTTTTTTTTCGCCTTTATTTTCTACTGGTGATCCAAGCAGAAAGTCTATTATTTTTCAACTAAACTCAGAAGTTATATCTTAAAAATTAATTCAAGTACTCTAAGTATTAACAAAAATGTAGCTTATAGTGCACCACTTGGTTGTAAATCCTCAAATCATCTCTGAATTGGTGCGGTCACTGTCCTTCCTTCTGGAGGGTGGCTATTTTTGTTCCCCATGGTCCCTGTGTGTGTTGTAACGTAGCCACCGCTCCAAGCTTACTCCTGTGATGGACTACATCTTCAATACAAATTAGTAAACTAAACATGAGATTGTAGTCCATCACGGAAGTGAGCTTGGAGTGATGGCTACTTTATAACACACACAGGGACCATGGGGAACAAATGTAGCCACCCTCCAGAAGGAAGGACAGTGTCAGCACCAATTCGGAGATGATTTGAGGATCTACAGCCGAGTGATACACAAATAAGATACATTTTTGTTACTAGTTAAGGTACGTGAATGTATTTTTAAGATTTAACTCCTGAGATCAGTGTCACTTTAACAGACCAAGCTGTTCAGCAAAAGTGGCAGATAGAGGGTTGAGACAAACCATTTATCTCTGACAGGGGTGCTGCTGTCATGGTCATAAATTAATAAATATAAAACCTTTAGCCCAAAAGAAAAAAGAACCTGTTGCTGTAACTGCTTAAAAAGTTTTAGATAGAGTTCAGATTTAATTTGTTAGTCAAGTCCATCTAAATCTGCTGTCCATCTAACACTCCTCTCTCCACAGGTTGACAATGCTGCTGTCCAAGGGTGGTTCTGTTGCTCCTTCAAAAAGTGGAGCAACCCCTTAGGGACCATGTGTTATTGGAAGGATCATGGGTGAAACTAAAAGGGGGGAAAGCCTAAACAAAGAAAACAAATGCAGTTACCACATTTAAGTATTGTTAAGCTGCAATATTATTGTTTTTGGTTTGGATATGCTTCAACTCGTGTTTTATGTGCAGTTTCCAGTATATTTAGAGCTGAACTACAGGGAGATACAAAGACGCAAATTAAAGAGGAACTTTACCCATATCTTTAAAATAACAACAAACACAGCTTTAGAAATGTTTAGTAATGACAATCTACAAACACATACTTCTAGATAAATGCCGGCTTTGTATGCTTTGCATTCCCTATTTCTCTTTTCTTCCCCAGTCTTCTGGCAGTGGACATGTAAACTAAGGGCACATTACTAGATCTCCCTTTACTTCCTGGATTTCTGGCACGTGACTAGGACATGTGACCATGCACATCATCTCAGGGGAGGAAAATGCCTTTCCCTGAGATTTCATGAAACTACAGATGAGATTTCCCAACAATGCTATGCTGATGTAGCCTTCCCAGGATGCAAAGCTTGGGCACGACTACATCATTTGTGCCAGAACTGGACCAGGAAGTAGATGGAACTCTATTTGTAAGTAAATTAAAAACAAGTTTGTTTAACTAAAGAATGTAAGATGATTTTATATCAGCATGCAGCGCTGTATGCTGATGGTATTTTTAATAAAAGGGGGTACTGGTCCACTTTATCGGAGCTTTGTAATCGTAAATATACCTTTAAATTTATTTTTAACTAAATATAAGAAGTATCTAAATTTTACTCCATATTAGCCTATGGTCCCTGTGTGTGTTGTAACGTAGCCACCGCTCCAAGCTTACTCCTGTGATGGACTACATCTTCAATACAAATTAGTAAACTAAACATGAGATTGTAGTCCATCACGGAAGTGAGCTTGGAGTGATGGCTACTTTATAACACACACAGGGACCATGGGGAACAAATGTAGCCACCCTCCAGAAGGAAGGACAGTGTCAGCACCAATTCGGAGATGATTTGAGGATCTACAGCCGAGTGATACACAAATAAGATACATTTTTGTTACTAGTTAAGGTACGTGAATGTATTTTTAAGATTTAACTCCTGAGATCAGTGTCACTTTAACAGACCAAGCTGTTCAGCAAAAGTGGCAGATAGAGGGTTGAGACAAACCATTTATCTCTGACAGGGGTGCTGCTGTCATGGTCATAAATTAATAAATATAAAACCTTTAGCCCAAAAGAAAAAAGAACCTGTTGCTGTAACTGCTTAAAAAGTTTTAGATAGAGTTCAGATTTAATTTGTTAGTCAAGTCCATCTAAATCTGCTGTCCATCTAACACTCCTCTCTCCACAGGTTGACAATGCTGCTGTCCAAGGGTGGTTCTGTTGCTCCTTCAAAAAGTGGAGCAACCCCTTAGGGACCATGTGTTATTGGAAGGATCATGGGTGAAACTAAAAGGGGGGAAAGCCTAAACAAAGAAAACAAATGCAGTTACCACATTTAAGTATTGTTAAGCTGCAATATTATTGTTTTTGGTTTGGATATGCTTCAACTCGTGTTTTATGTGCAGTTTCCAGTATATTTAGAGCTGAACTACAGGGAGATACAAAGACGCAAATTAAAGAGGAACTTTACCCATATCTTTAAAATAACAACAAACACAGCTTTAGAAATGTTTAGTAATGACAATCTACAAACACATACTTCTAGATAAATGCCGGCTTTGTATGCTTTGCATTCCCTATTTCTCTTTTCTTCCCCAGTCTTCTGGCAGTGGACATGTAAACTAAGGGCACATTACTAGATCTCCCTTTACTTCCTGGATTTCTGGCACGTGACTAGGACATGTGACCATGCACATCATCTCAGGGGAGGAAAATGCCTTTCCCTGAGATTTCATGAAACTACAGATGAGATTTCCCAACAATGCTATGCTGATGTAGCCTTCCCAGGATGCAAAGCTTGGGCACGACTACATCATTTGTGCCAGAACTGGACCAGGAAGTAGATGGAACTCTATTTGTAAGTAAATTAAAAACAAGTTTGTTTAACTAAAGAATGTAAGATGATTTTATATCAGCATGCAGCGCTGTATGCTGATGGTATTTTTAATAAAAGGGGGTACTGGTCCACTTTATCGGAGCTTTGTAATCGTAAATATACCTTTAAATTTATTTTTAACTAAATATAAGAAGTATCTAAATTTTACTCCATATTAGCCGCTTGCCATCCCTGCACAGCAAGGCTGGAGTGTGAGAGGAAGAAGCAGTACTAGAAGTCAGCTCATGTTCTGACAAGCATGCTGATGGGAAGAGAAACCAGAGAACCATGAGATGAATTCATCACTATGCTTTTTCTACTTTCACTGTCTAGTCACAGGCTGGGACGATTCAAGGCCACCTAGACACCGAGGAAGGGGGTTAAATTATGTTGTCCAACAGACTGAGGGCATCTAGCAGGAGACAAATGGCACTGTGGGCAAAATCTGAGGATTGAACTTGAGTATTATGGCAAAAGCAGGTTTTATCTGTTATTTTATCTTTTAATGGGCTATTCCTGTTTATTTATTTGCCTGTTCAGCTTTAAGTTAACATGCTGATAGAAATGATGTAATCTTGAATTGTTGACCTTATGACAATACAGCTGCATGTCTGTCATTAGCTTCTTTCACTTACCTGAAACAGCCAAGCAGCAAGTGAAGTCACAGCAAAGTCAGAGCTGCAAATATGTAGACTCTTTCAGGTCGGTTACTCAGGAAATAATAAAGCCACTGGACTGACATGGCAGCTAGAAAGCTACAACATTTTAGGAGAGGTCAGTAATGGAAGCCTCCATTTTTTTTCGCAGGTGCAAAATTTATTGTGCAGGTTTTAATTACACCAAAACAAACAATTGTGACGAGTTTGATCATCTTAATTTTTTTCAGTTTACAGGAATGTGTAACTTAGATTTTCAATATCGAACTTACCTGTTTTTTGGTAAAACTTGATAGCTTTATTCCAGGAAATCTAGTGTTTTCAATGAAGCCATGAGCTGGAGGGTCAAGTAGAACAAACTCAGAATTCAAGTTCTGAAAATGTTTGCTAGGTATATGCAGGTATTCCTGTGTTAAGGCTTTGGATGCTCCTTCCTTGACTGTAATATTTTGAACCTCCAGTGGGATATGGATTGGGATTATATCCACAGAGACGGTTATACCCATTATCTCTCTTACACCATTGGTCAAGTCTAATTCAAAGTTGTCCAGTAACTGGCCAGCCTCGGTCTGCACATACTGAATGTCTTCATTGTTAATATCTTCCTGTGTAAACACCATCACAGACTTTGGATCATCAGGAAATCGGAATACCAAGGACTCAACTCTACGTATATATCCATATTTTGGAAGTGTAATCACTGTAAAAATCATTTCACCCGGTGTGTTATCCTCATGAAAAACCTGAATAAGAAATAAATTTAGGAAGAAAATCAAATAATAGCTACAGAATGTTTAGATATATTTTACTTGAGACTTTAAAAACAATCTTATTTAGAACACTAACAAAAACAATTAATATAACTGATGCACAGTTGAACCTTATTTAGAGCCTGTGTCTATGTGGGGATTTGGACAGGTGGTTAGTTGTAACTCCGCCAACAGATATCACAGATAGCCTGTGTCAACGTTTTCCATCATCGATTCGTCGGCTATCAATTAGAAAGCCTGTTCGCGGCTCCATACACAAGCTACGCACGCCACGCATGTCACGCACACGCTAAGCCGGACACGCCCGCAGAGCACGCTGCCGCTGCGACTTACAGGGGTTCAGAAACAGGTAAGGGGGACCTGTTTTAATGTTTCCTGTTTAAAAAAAAAAAGCGGCACACTGCAGAACACCAGCAGCTATAGAGGAACACCAAATCCCAGCAATAATACAGTATACAGCCTATAACTGGTCAGTGGTATTCTGCATTGCGCCTTATAATCATTATACAGCAACGGAGAATACCACCAGCTATAGAGGACTACAAATCCCAGCAATAATACATTATATACAATGCAGAATACCAGAAGTTACAGAGGACTACAAATCCCAGCAATAGTACATTATAGTATAAACTACTATTGCTGGCATTTCTTGTATTCCTATATAACTGCTGGTATTCTGCATTGCGCCGTATAATCATTATACAGGGCCTTGCAGAATACCGCCAGCTATAGAGGACTACAAATCCCAGCAATAATAAATTATACAGCGCAATGCAGAATAACGCCATCTACAGAGGACTACAAATCCCAGCAATAGAACACTATAGTGTACTATTGCTGCGATTTGCTGTATCCCTCTAAAGCTGCTGGTATTCTGCATTGCGCCGCTGTATAATGTACTATATTGCACACCACACTTTTTTTTACTTCCACCGCTCCAAGCTTGCTCCCATGATTGATGGACTACAATCTCAATACAAACTAGTAGTCCATCACTGGAGCCTTTTTTTTTTTTTTATCCCATTAACCAAACTTAATAATCGGCCAACTAATCGATTTTGAAAATAATCGTTAGCTGCAGCCCTACTGATCATGTGACTTTGTGGACCATTTTTCCTTTTCACGTTTTTTTTTATATCCAGGTAAGCTGAAATACATTTTACACAAGTCCTGCTTCAAGGCAGCTAACCCTAGATAATGGCTACATATTAGAAGTGCAGGTACACTGCACATACCAAAGGTCTGATTTTGTTGAAGAAAATGTTCCACCCTGAACTGATATTTTAGCTACAATATGTCAGAAGGGGGAATAAAGGCTGTGACACACTGCACGCGAAGCAGCACAGAGCAGTAACGCGCTGCCTTCGCGAGCAGTGTGTCATGTAATTTTCTCCCCGGCACGTCAGCTTGTGAGAGCCAAACGGCTTGCACGTATAAACCAGCGCGTCAGGATGCGACGTCTGGCCGGTTGTTACGCATGAACCGATTGGCTGAAGGTGCAGTCAATCATCTGCCTGCACTCCGCTCACACACTGCACGCAAAGCTCCATGCCAGACAGCTTTGCTTTGCTCTGCACGGCTTTGCGTGCAGCGTGTCAAGGGCTTTATCCTCACATCTCCTGAGGACTTTGGCAGACAGAGCTTTGTACAGTCCAATACTTTCTGTTTCCCGTTTCTTTCAATGCATTTTGAATGATAGGTAGACCTAATAAAGGAATACCCTGCAACATGGCAGTAAAGTATGCAACGGTTTTACACCTTTTATTTTCTGATGGATTTGAAAAGGAATTAATATAATAAAAGAGCTGTACTTACTTTACTGAAAGTAGGATGAAACACTTCTATACTTTACAGCTTAAGACAACTCCATCTTGGCCTCTATTTAGATCTGCAGGTGTTGTGGTGTTGCACATGTAACCAGCTATGACACCAGCCATTGAAGGTGCATTCACACCAAAACTGGAAGGAAATCGCAAGTCAATGGAGAATCTGTTTACTTCCAATTGTACCTTGAATTTCCATCTAATCCGTTTTTCAATGGATGCCAACAGAAAAGCGCTTAAAAATGAATGGATGTGAATGAGACTAGTTCACACCAGATCCGTTGCGTTGCGCTGAAAAATAGTAGTGCATGTTCTATGGAGCGGTTTGAACTAGCCCCATTCACACCCATTCATTTTTCGGTGCCCATCTGTAAGCATCCGTTGAAAAATGGAATGCAGCGCAAAAGAATGGGCCCCCGAAGTGCTTGAAAGTCCAGTTAGGTGCTAACTTAGGCCAGAGGCAAATGGAAAAACTGTTAAATTAGCAGTTTAGTTCCACTTTAAATACTATCTATTCAAACAAAAATGCAAGTGCTGAAATACTTATATACAAATGGTACCATGTTTGCCTGTTTTCCAGCAATCCAATACTACCTCATGCCTTCAAAGAGGTAAGGTATGGTATATGTGTGAGGCAAAAGTATTAACTGGCTATCTGCCAGAAATGCCAATCTGCACCACTCCTTCACAAAAGGTCTACACCCTTGCCATGGCTATAGCCATAGTGTTGATTGCAGGTAATCATTTGACTGCTACTTATTATTATGAGCTAACACCAAATGGGAGGGAAAGGGGAAAAGTACATTTACTTTAGGACACTTTACAATAACCAACCACAGATTTCAATGTACTTACTTGCAACTTGTCTTTGTCAATTTTAACCGGCTTTCCTTCTTCAACCACAAGGGCCTTCAGGTTTTGTACGGTCGGAGGTCTCTGGTGACTTTCCAAATAACCACGGACTTTAATCACAACTTCAACGGACACGGAATCAATTTTCACAGTGACATTAAATGCGTCAGACAGATGAATGCTGTCGTCATGCCTATAAGCCACATGTCCATTTTTTAAGTCTTCATGTGTGAAAGATCTTAAAACCTGTTTTTTTGTAATAATTTTTCCATGTTTTGGTGGCAGGCTTATGTCATAAAGAATGTCACTCTCACTTTTTACAAACATGTTTGTTTCAATGCTAAAGTTGGCTGCTGTTATTATTTTATCCTTCCCTTTCTGGACCAACAAACCAGTATTGTTTATTACTTTAATGAAGGGCTCAGATGCAGTAACTTCCAGTAGTGAGGATGTGTAATGTTTTCCATCAGTTACGAACAAGACAAAACGGCCATAAGCCCCGCCATGGTGAATAAAAAGGACGCGTTTATTTTCCAAGTCATCCTGGGTGAAGTGGTAAAGCTTTTTAGACGTATCATCATATGAAACAAGATCTCCATTTGGAATACCACGTCTGGTATATAGTAACTGCCCATCATCAAAATCTGTATCAGGATCATGGTAGCACAAGTCTTCCAGTGTTAGCAACCTCTGACCATTTCTGACTACATGAAAAAGCTGATCAACCACACGGATGGGCTTCTCATCATTTTTCAACTCTATGGATATGTTAAAAGTAAATTCAGTGGGAACTGGATTGGCATCCAGATCACGGGTTTGCAATTCAGAGGCCACAGAGGATGCAAGAATGACAAAGGCATCCGACACCGTTTCTGAGTTGTCATGGACATACATGAGGCGTTTACCCAAGATATCTTGTGTGGAAAAGACCGTAATGTTATCATTGCTGGTTACAGAAGTGGAAAAATTAATCAATTTAAGTTTACCGTTGAGTGGACTCTTCAAAACCTTGAAGGAAAATGTTTTATTATTTAAAGTTTGCACAAACAGCTCATCTTTGGTTATAAGTTTTGTCTCGCCTTCTCCTAATGACAATCCTTTGTTTGTCAGAATGATGCTATTCAAGTCGGCCTTAATAAATATTGTAAAGTCATTTGGCTGAGATTGTGCATATTTTGTGAACATTAGGAACTTGAAGAAATCTTGAGCATCTTCATGATGTCGGTCATGTAACTTGTATTCAACATTTCCCTCTATAATATCCATCTGATTGAACACACTATTTTTGCTTAAAATTTTATTTTTACTTAGAATATTTCCTTTAGTTGGCACCGATTCTAACTTAAAAAACAAATCTTTATCATTTACACCAATTCCCTCCACTATGGCATGTAGGTTGTCAGCACCAAAAATAGCCTTCTCTTTGTTCTCAATAGTCAAAGGAAAGTTTTTAAGCAATGTATATTTAAGCCACTTTACTTTAATTGGAAATATTAGTTCTTCACTAGACTTATTGGATATGGTGATTTTAAATTTAAAATGTTCTTTCACATCAGCTTCTTGGATCTCCTTGTAAGTATTATGGTATCGTATTCTCTCTCTTTCCAGAGAACGCTGAGTAAATGAGGCTGCTGGCTTCCATTCATTTGCAGAACTTCGTCTCTGGATGTGACCAAACTTTGGCATTTCAGTAACATCATACTTAATTTCTATGTCCTGGTTCAATGCATTGGTTTCCACTGCCAAGTTGCTTGGCTGAAGTAGCACACTTCCACCTTGAATCACTTCGATGTCTGTTTTATTTGCCAATTTAAATTCTAGTGGTATGGCCAAAATTCTCAGCACCACTGTATTACTCACTTTATCACCATCACTAACCCTTAATACAAGTCTGGCATTCTTGACTCCACGGTGGACATAATATATGTTGCCTTCAAGCAAATCAGAATAAGAAAATGTGGTTATGGCTTTTTCTGGATCTTTAATGTTTTCTAAAAATCCAGCATCTACATTCAAGTTACCAAGGACTACCAGGTGTAGGTTCTGCGGCTCCGAATCCACATCGTAAATTTTTAGCAGATTTCCAGTGAGCCTTTTCTTGGAGTTTTCCAATAGAGTAAACAAATTTCCTTCTGGCAAAGTAAGCTCCGGTGCATCATTAGAGGGTGTCACAGTTATATTAAGGACATACAACTTTTCTCCACGAAGAAAGGGCAGCATCTCATTCTTGCTATTCGTGGTAACAGAAAAGCTAAACTGATCACTTGATCCTTCAGAGCCATCATGAGCATAAGTAATTCTTCCATGCCATAGATCTAACATGGTAAACATACCCTTTTCTTGTTGTGAAGAAACATCAAACTTCAACTGGCCATGCAGTGGGTAATCAACTACATTAAATAAAATTTGAGACTGCCGAATACCAAGCTCCCTAAAACTTAAATTCAATTTTATGTGTTTAGACTGCAGGGTACCTTTATTACCTTCCTGAACCACCAAATTAGTTAGGGTGATAAAGATATCATTTTCTTTTTTCTTTGTTACCACTGTAGCGATAAGAGAAGTAGTAGGAGCTAATGTTGTTAAAATAACAGTTTTTACTTCCACTGCTGGAACAGGGCTCAGTGCTGCTTCGGTTTTGCAACCAGGTGATATATCTTTAGTGGATAAAACATTTCTCAGTCCAAGCTTAACTGAATTCACCTTTATGTTTTTAATACAGCCTTTAAATGATCCTCCCTTTGAATGCTTTCCAGAGAGTGATGTCAGTTCTAAATGTTTTACCTGATCACGTGAAGCATCACTGATACCACCCACATACATAGGACCATGAGTTTTAACACGTGATGGGAGCAAAGCTTTCTCAGTCTTCTCCCCTATTGTGAGATGAAAATGTCTTGATGTGATTTTAAGTTTGATGTAATGCCATTTATTTTCAGTGATTGAACTTGGGAAATCAAGACGTGCTATATTTTTCCCCTTTCCAATGCTGGCTCTTACAATCCAGTCTATTATTTCTAAAGAAACAAAATCTTCACCTTTTCCAGAATGATACATTAACAAACCTCTTCCAACTGAGGGCTGGAGAAAACACTCCCAGTCGGCATCATCCTCATTATTCCAGCGTGGGAAAGCCAAAAATGACTTGGAGCTGAATAAACTGATAGGATCCTCTTCACTTATAAAGAACTCATCACTGCACCCTAGAGATACCTCATGAACATTTTTCAGACCAGCATATGGTCTAAGGTTAGAAAGTAGATCATATTCATTGAATATAACATCATCCATACATCCCCTGAAGTAAGAATGCATATGTTTTGCATAAGGGACTTTAAGGCTGCCAAGTCCACCAACATAGAGCCCATGCTGTGTGTTGAATGTATTGGATCCGCTAGCAATATCAGATTTTACATGTTTATCGACTGTAAGGATAACATTCGCGTCTTCGTGGCTAAGTTTCAATAAGTGCCACTCCAAGTCATCTAAACGAGGGCCTTGGTCAAGAGAAAGGGCTAGTTCACCCTTTCCAAAATTAATTTTAATCTGAAAAACATAAGAATATATAGTTATTTAATACCTATAACTAGACACTGTTTTGTCATATAATTAATTTATAAATTATCCATCCCCGATTTTAATTATGAATGACTGGATCACAATGCTCTGATTAATGGATATTTTGAGAATAGCCAACAAGATGAAAGAAAAGCAAGAAATGCCCCGTGGAGGATAAAAAGTTTCACAGAAAGGCATTTCATCTTACGGTCAAGTATAATACAATATAGAACTCTATCACTGTATTATTTTTATGCATGGTCACAACTAAATTAAATGATGACTGTGGCCAAGCTATAGAAATGCAGAAGTCCTTCTCTAAGCCAGCTCAGCTCAACCTCCTCCCCTTCCAGCAGCAAATTGACAGCCTTCCAATCCCTATTGTAAATAGAGCAATGAGTGGGAAGCAAGGCCGGATGAGCTGCTGAGATAACTTGAACAATGTGCTTTGAACTTTGAGGATGAATTGTTCCATGGTGCATGCAGACACAGGAGGTAAAGGAGGGCTTTTTTTAAAGTATATTTACTGCTTGTTAAGTGTGTAAATACTTCAATGTCCTTACCCTAGCAACAGGTTCACTTTAAAGTGCATACCAGATCATTACTGATATCTGACAACGCTTTCAGTCCGTTCAAATATACATATATTTTCACCTAAAACCCATGTGGTAGATCAAGGGAAGAAAGAACATTTAATATCTGTGCAAAACGTCAACCCCCAAACAGATGTCATTGCCTAAACATCTTTTCCAGGACAGCAATTTCTGTCAGACAGCTGAACTTCTACTGCCCCCTTACTGAAGTAAAAATAAAACATGGAATCAGCAAGTGCATGGAATGCTTAGCTGTATAAAGAACATCTGGCTGCCTAAGAGTTTGGTCAAGGGGCCAGGTCCGATAGTATGTGCTTATCTTGATGTCAGTTCACCAAGCTGTTAAGCATTTTACCTAATGCTACTTTTGTCATCAAAATTTTGATTCATGTCATTAAATATTAGATATGTGAAGCATGGTGGTGTAAATGTTATGGTTTGATGGTGCTTTGATGCTTAAAAGTCTGGGCAGTTTGCAGTCATTGAGTCAAGTATGAATTTGGCATTATATCGGAAGTAAATTAGGAGTTGTCATAGAGTTTCATGGAGTAGATGTAAGAGGCTGTTGGCAGTTATACAAAACACCTACAAGAAGTAATTTCTGATAAAGGGGGCAATAACAGCTTCTGAGGCCAAGGATGAACTTACTTTTTCCACAGTACACCACTACATCATTGATATTTTTGTTGAATACCCGATTAAAAAGACTCATGTTCCTTGAATTCTTACTCAAGTATTCCAACTTGATCTGTAGGCACTGTTTAGGCACTTATGTTTTCACATGACTGCACACGCAGGCACGTGCACACACACACACTCTTCAGACTGTGGTGGCATCTATAGCCATAATGTTTATTTTTTGAAAGACGCCAGCAGTCTGTATCTGAACACTATGTCATATCTGATATACTGATTAGATGATCGGGAGACACATTACCTGGTTCCCAATTTTTGTTGAGTTCCAGAGCTGTTAGTGGCAGCCTGGTCAGGCAGGTAGCAGCCATGCAGAGCGTCAATAAATAATAAAGATTTACATACCATCAGCACGGGGCTTTGCACATGGAAATGTGAATTTACAGATTGCAGACAGGAAAAGGTTAATGTATTTGTAAAAAATGTAAATCTTTATATTTAATATAAATATATTAATCTGCCTTCATATTAGCTTGCTTTGCAGTACTCCTACTAGAAGGGGGTGAAGCAGTATTAGATAATCAACTTTATTGTTTGGCATAGAGCTCTCAATCTAATACACACTGGAAGAGCACAGGCGTGACTTCATCGGCGTGCTGTACTTCCATCAACAGGCTAAAAAGGAGAGGTGGCCTTAGCTAAGCATCTAAGGAAGCAGAACACCGGCTGTGTGGATAAACACCTCTACCATGATTTCAGGGGGAAAAAGGTTGTTAAATACCTAACACATAGTAGATGTTTGCAGCTAGAAAACAAATAAAAAACATGTAAGTGCCATGACATGTAAATTTGGCATGCACTTGAGATTATGATTGTTGCCAGGAGCTCTGTTTTATTCCACAAAATATTTAGGCTGCTCTTTATTCTTCATCTCAAGCATCTGAACTACATAAAATATTTACCAGAAGTACATGTGACAACAGTATATATACAAAATTAAGTAACAAAACACTTTGAGGCTCATGCACTCGGAAGGCTGACCCTGTGCAATGTGAATTCCAGCATACCCACAACCCACTCCAGGGAGTCACAGTTGCTGTGTACAGTCTCCCATAGAAATCAGTGGTTGTACGCAACTCTATGCAGGTACACACTGGTACTTGCCTACAGCTGTCTAGACAAATACTTGAATGGGTTCAGCTGCCCGTATGCTTGAGCCCTTACAGCAACAAAAAATACTTTGTTTTGGAATATGAATAAGTCTGTGATATTCATATCTTACCTGTACACGACCTGCATGTAACTCGACCAAGTAATAATCATCTTTCCCAGCTGCCAAGAAAAGTAACCCATCTGCCTTGCTGGTTTGGAACCGTAACTGAAAGGATAACTTTGAGAACGATTCCACCGTCTTCAGTTCAACATAACTTTCACCATAAAAAGAAGCTATGGAAAGGAGGAAAAAACATAGATGGTCAATTCAATATAAAAACATCACAGATGCTCGAGACATTAGATATTAGACAAAAGCTACAAGAGTATTGTAATCACAGACGGGCAGCTTGTTAATTTTACTATGGTTGCTTTTAATATTGGTAATTTTAAATATGTAATGTTGTCAGCTTTAATGCATGTTAAAAGTTTAATGTGATGAAGCAGAGTTGGAAATAAAGTTCTCAAATCCTCGTGGCGTAAAACGGTGGCCAGAGGTGTCAACAGTCTTAATGCATTAAGGCCCCCTTCACACCTAAGCTGTTTGTCATGCGTAAATCGGTGCGACAAACAGCTCAACTCCAGGAATCCCCTTCATGTCTATGACCCGAATGCACGTCAGCGTTTTGTCGCAAGCAGAAATACGCTTGTCACATGAAATACTACATGCGCTACTGTGTGGCTGATTTCAGCGCGTTCTGTCCCATAGACTCAATAGGAAACGCTTGAAAAACGTGTGGTGTGATTATTTGCGCTGGTATTGTAAAAACTGCTTGTAATCTGCTTGTAAAAACACGCAAAAAAAACCTGTGTAAAAAACGCGGTGAATAGGTGTCGCTTAGGTGTGAATCCAGACTTAAGCATTCTTAAAGCTTAACTTCAGCCCTACCTTTATCCCACACTTTAGCAAGTCCTCTCCTGTTAAAAATGATTACTGTTAATTACTGTAAACTTGCCTCTCCACAATATAACCCTTTGAAGCTACAGCAGCTACCTTGAGCCAACCTTCAATTCCTGTATGAACTACCTCCATTATTCACCAATCACTTCCCCCCCAGATCCATACTGTCGCTAACTTCCCCTTCTAATATCTATTAGCTTTCTCTGCCATCAATTATTATGTTCCTGAGCTTTATGTGAAAGAACACATTCCCAGCATCTCTTTAGACATGTCTGCAGCCAGTCAACCAATCACAGCTAAAGTGTGCAGCACCTATTGGCTAGCAGGGAGAAGCAAGCACATCTCAAGGGATCTTGGGGGTTGTGTTATTTCTAAAGATAGGAGGTAGAAAACTGTGACGTAAATATTGGCCTTAGAATCATTGCTCTCACTCCGGCGTGCACGGCGATACCCAACATGCGTATCGCAATTGTCGTTTTCGTACGTAGGCGCACCCGACGCATGTTTACGTGACGGCGTGTGTGCTCGCAGGGGAGGGGGGACTTCATTTTTTTTTCTACATTTAATTTATTTAAGATTATTTTAAAAACTGTTTTTTTTAAACTTTAATTACTATTACATACATGGGCTTTCAAGCCCATGTGACAGCATAATGGCAGTGACAGGTACTATTTAAGGTGATGCTGGGGGTCCAAAAAACCCCCAATGTCACCTTTACACTCTAAATAAGCTACTAAAGTATAGATTGCACTTCAATAGCTTATTGCTGGGCTTCAGGAGTCCAGCACTGACAGCTCTGTGACCATAAGTGATGCAATACGTGTCGCTCCCGCTCCCATAGTACGGGGAAGGGATCGGCGCACGGATGTTCGTCGCTCTCCTCCCCAGCTTCCCGCCAACACCCGGAAAGCCCCGGCCCGTAGGAGGGGCAACGGAGCCCAGCAAACAAGGCGGGGGTGTCAGGTGGGGGGAGGTGACCTGGTTACCGGATCGTATAGAAGCTATCTGGCGTCTAAAAGCCGCCGGGAGTCTGTGTAACCCCTTCCGACTTCACTACGGGATTATCCCATCATAGTTCGTGAGGGGTTAAAGTCCATTTCCACCTTTGTAAGAGTTTAGCATTTATTTTGGTAATGTAGAAGTGCAGTGATGATGTATACACGTGCACATTTTCATGACTCACATTGTAGGCTTTCATCATTCTCAGGGCTTGAAAAATCTACACGTCCGACCGGGTGCTTTACATTCAAGCGATCGGGCGTCTCTAGAGACGCTCGATCGCTTGTATTAGCAGCTGTCACTGCCGTTGCCGGTCCCGAGATCCACTGGGCCCGATGCGGCCGGGACCGTCACGGCTCTGTGACAGAAGATCAAAAGGGAGTCTTCCCCAATCTGGCCAAAACTAAAAAAGAAAAAAAGTTTCGCTGGAGTTAGGCTTTAACTAAAATGTTTAAATGTATACCAAATTAAAATCATCAAGGCTTCTAAAGCTACCCAAAAAACAGTGCCAAATACAGTATGGAACCACCTGCTTCCACCATACCCAGCATGCTTGCCACAGTATTCCCAGGAAGAACTGCAACCTCTTGACACCTCATTCGGTGCTCCCTGTTATACTCCAGTATGTGTATGCATAGCTACATGGGGCTTAGAGAAAAAGCCATGATGGAACCACAGAATTTCATAGGCTAGCATCTACATAGATTTACTTAATAGGACAGTCAGGTGGAAAACAAATTTCCAGGATCCGATGTAGACACAGTCAACAGGTAGACTTCTGAGTCACATTGGCTTAATGGTTAGTAGAGATGAGGCTGGGCTTGTTACGAACTCAGTTTGCATGAGTTCACCCAAGTCTGCTCAAAACTCTGACTGACTGCCAGCCCCCCTGCCGACCTAATCGGTGGCGGAAGTTGCAGAGGGGGAGTTCCCCACAGCTTTGTGACGCATAGGTATATTGTGCTTCTCCGTAACTGATTGGGTTGGGAAGTGGGAGTGGTGGTCAAAGTTTGGAGCAGGCTTGGGCAAACTCAGGCAAACTGAGTTTTCACCGAGCCCAACCTCATCAGTAGTGGTTAGCACTTTTGCCTTCCAGCATGGGGGGTACTTGGTTTGAATCCCATACAGGACACAAGCTGCATGGAGTTTGCATGCCCAGTTCTTCAAAGACATGCTGATAGATTTATTGGCTTTACTATGTGTATATATGCATGTGAGATAGGGACCTTGGATTGTAAGCTATTTGAGAGCAAAGACTGATGTGATTGTACATTATGTTTATTTGTTGCCACTATATAAGCACCTGTAATAAATACATTTTAAAGTAGCCAGGTTATATTTTCCTTCCCTTTGCTCCATTGGTCATCAGAGCGCGGAGAATAAGCCCCGAGTAAGCTCCAAGTAGCTCCTCGTCTGAACTTAAGGTGCCCATACACCTTACGATTATCGTACGATAATCGTATGCGATCGACTTTTCGTACGACAATCGTAACGTGTGAATAGAGTGCCCGACCGATAGTACTGTACAATCGTACGACTTTTGGCGGTCAAGCATGTTGAAAACTTTGCTAGATCGTACGATTTTCGTAAGGTTGCTGGCGTTTCCGTCCGTCAAAAGTCGTACGATCTACACTGCGCTTGCGCTAACGAAAATACGGCAAATCATTTACCGCATATCGTCCAGGTGCTTTTAGTTAATTACGGCTAAATTAATCTTGCGATCATCGGGGCAGGATGGGGCCGTCGTACGAATAATACGATAATCGTAAGGTGTATGGGCACCTTTACACCGAGGACCCTCTCCCTGCCTACTTGTGACAGCACTGGAGCATGAAATGTCAACTGCAACCTGGAGCACGGCCAGGTGGGAGGAAGGCGAGGGAGTCACGTGTTCCCCTCGATCCTGAAGTATCAAGTATCTCTCCTCCCTTCTAATAGCAAACAAAGCGAAGGGAAGGCAAATATAAGCTGTTACAGGGGTCGTGCATTTAAGTGAACCTGTTGCTTTGCTCTACACGGACTTCGTTTCAAACACAGCAGTTTTATGTTTAACTGGAGTGCATATTTAATTATGAAACACAGTTATTTATTAATCCAGAGGATGAAAAGCTTTCAAGAGAGATTTAAATATAAACATAATAAAAACATGAAAAGAAACAATGACATGAATTAGTCTACTGAGGTTTATGTGCTGTAGTTTGGTGGCACTTTACCCCTCTTTGACAATGTCTGAAGCCTACTGTTCAGATTTGTACTTTTTATTTAGAGATAATCAAAGGAAAAAAAAGTTCATATCAATGTATTTGCACAATCTAAGAAATGTTAAATTCCTTCATTCCTCTAGTAAAGTGAAATAGTGAGATATTAAACAGATGATATCAACATACATTACTCCTGCATTCCAGGTACTGCTTGTCCAGGCATGTATACACTTAGCTTAACTTCCTTTAATAAATTGCACAGAGAAGAGTCAGCTGAGTACTCCGCATACTCTGTCCCATACCATTGTGTAATAGTTAAATATGATTTAAGAGCTATTCACACTGTCTGGAAGAGGCAGACGGAGACAAAAAATATACACACACACACACAAAGTAACACGGACAGACATACAGGTAAATAACAGACCAAGCCAAACACACAATGAAAAGGCAGATAGAGGAGGACAGACCGCCAAAAAAAAGAGTGCCCATTTAAAGTGGAAATAAAGGGGGAAAACATTAAAAAATGCTGGGAGGTGGTGGGGATTTTTTGGCAAAAGAGACTTGCAAAGTCTCTTCTGTCAAAAGAAATCCCCCCCCCCAGTGATTTTTTTATTTTCTGCGTACACTCCATACAATGTACACACATTTATGACATCTCGAAGGACTGGTGCACACATAGGCATTTTTGAGCAGTAGGAAACGCCCAACACAAAAAAAATCCCATGATTATCAATGATCCTTATTCACACCTGAGCAGAAAAACGCAAACAGGAAACCGCCAGAGGGCAGACACACAGAGAGACAGAAAAAGACAGAAAGACAACAGAAGGATAGAAATCGACAGACACATGGAAGTGGGATGCGCATGGAAGTGGGATGCGCATCCAAGCAAAGAAGAGAAGACTTTCCAAAACTAGGATAGATGGGAACTGTTGCCAAACTTCAATCTGGCACAGAATGTGTTAAGTTTTCCACATACAAATGAACAGTTTCAGACCAGCACGTCTGTATATTTTAGGAGGGTGAATGGGTGTCAGCTGTTGGTCTTTAAAGTAGTAAATGACATCTGCTTTCTAATCCCGAACACTCCTCCGCACATAACAGCTTTCACAACTGTACATGATGGAGGAACTGCGGAAGCCCCAGCGTCGGCAAATAATAACATGTTTAACACTGAGCAATGGGCATGTTAATAAAGCACTGCGCAAACTGTTGGCGCTATATAAATCCCGTATAATAATAATAATGAAACAAAGCAATGAAACAAAGCAATGAGCAGTGATATTTTAGGACACATAGCTGACTTCCTAACCTGTAATTACATAGAATAAAAGTCCATCTCTAAGTAATATTTCAGATAGAGCCAGAGTATGATGGGCTATGCTAGTCACTGGCACTGTATACTTGTGTGTGCTTCAGTGATCACATGCTTCCTGTCATTTTTCTTATCAAAGTGTTAATTTTCTAGCAATATAAACAACTTTCATTAGCAAATAGATCTTGGCACCTACTATCAACAATATAGGTATCATGGCTGGACAAATCCCAGGAGCCAGGTCGCCAATGCTGCTTAAACATTTTTTAGCTGGCGCCTTTCCCCACTATTCAGGCCACTTTAGAGACTTGCTATAGATTTAACTGAACTTCGACTTTAACTATTCCCCAACAAGTGGTCTCTTTAGCGACAGGCAGCCTGGTGGCTTTTATACCTCATCTTGCTCTAGAAAGATGGCGAACACACGGTATTACCTTTCTCGAGGATCTCTTCGACTCAGCGGTTCTGCAAACATTCTACAAAGTTTACTTTTCTCTCATCTGAACTGTACACGTATCTACAAATTGATCATCTCCTGACCACAATGCTTATTGGCCCCCAGATTCTAATGGATACACTTATTTTAAGGTTTATGGAAACTCTCAACCCCAATGTAAGGGAATTTTGCTTTTCTAAGGCCTGTTACACAGCTGAAACTGCTTTGTGAAAACACATACTATGATAAAACGGAAAAAAGATTTGGGAAAGACCTTCACAGACTATCAATGGAAAAAGCAGATCATAGTCCTTCTCTATATTCCCACTACTCCAATCATTAGTAAAGGTGCCCGGGCATACACTGCACGATTCTCGTACGAGAATCGCGGGAATTCCTGCGATCGTACGAGAATCGTGCAGTGTGAATGAAGACGTGTGACCGTTTCTACTGTACGGTCGCACGTCTTTTGTCTAAGGAGCATGCTAGAAAACCAGCCGAGAATCGTACAATTTTCGGCTGGTTTTTAGCATGATCTTAAGATCAATGCCGCACGCGCACACTGCCCGTTCAGCATTGCGGTCATCGGAAGCCCGCCCCTCAGGGGGGCGGGCTTGTGATGATCGCAAGTACGATCTGCCTGCCTAAGATGGGCAGATCGTACGTTTTTAAAATTACTTTACAACCATCGCAAGACTAAGGTCTTGCGATGGTTGTAAAGTGTATGGCCACCTTAAGGCTCCCCGTGAAATGACTGCAGCAAGTCTTCAGACCTGAGAACTCTGAAATCTCATAGCCAGATGAGAAGGGAAGGCAGGGCGATTACCCTCTCTGAGCCTACCTGCCATATACTTCTCCCTGTACTTATTGGACATTTAGTGCAAATGGACGGTATATGTGTAAAGCCCACCCGTTGACCACTTTATACTTATCTCTCCAGATCTTCCTGGCAGTAACAGCAGCCTGTCATGTGACCGCTGGTCCAGAGACTGGCTGCTAGGCCCAAGCACTGCATCACATGCTCCCCTATACTATGTAGAACGGGTATTTTGCTGTGGTTGCCACAGAAGGAGTTGCAGGAGACATTTAAACAAACGTGCCTGCCTCTGGAGATACAGACACTGGAATCATGGAGAGTGCTGTAGATACTCTTTAGATGTCTCTTGCGTCTCCACACGGCAAATGTTGGTGCTAGCAACAGATTCACGCTCCTGTTAAAAACCATACTGGACACATATGTATATATCAGGGGTGTGGAAATTTTGGAAAAAACTACTTGTCCAAGGACTAAAGCGGGGGCCGAATCTACTTGTCCTGATACAAAAAAAATGATGTTAACCAAACCGTATTTAGCAGTGCTAAGAAGCGCTTCTCATTGGTCAATGCCGTCAGGTGACCACGTTGACCGAGTGCTTGCAATTTGCGAGCTAAATTCAGAATACATGGAACAGGTACAGATAGTACACCCCGAAGGACCGGTCGCCGAAAGGTAAGTATAGTGGGAGGGAGATTTGTGCGGCTAATTCCATTTTCCCAAATTACTTGGGAAAGTGAATTTACCCTTTAGGGTTGGTGCAGACCTGCGGATTCCCGGGACGTGCGATCGTGTGCGGTTGCAATCGATGAAAAAAAAGGTACATGTACCTATTTTCACGACATGCACCGCGCAGTGTTTTCAACCATGATCGTGTGGGATCGCCCGGGTGGTATTGAAGCAGGAAAACGCGCAATCTGCCTGGCACGACTGGGGTGCCATTAGAAAATAATGGCACTGACAGTACGATCGGCGGTGGTGTGCGATTCCGTGACCACCCAGCCATCCGCTCGGTTTCGTGCATGATGACCGGTACAATACATATATATATATATACACACACACACACACACATATTCTCATTGAAATGCTTGCATGCCATGCGTTTTTCCTGTGTCATGTGGGCACCTTGGCACACATTCACATGCACAGCAATGAACGGGGCCTCACAGAGGAGACAAAAGTAAGCAGTAGCATGTTTCCAGGAGATCACCTCTGCACCTCTTACTGTACTTGTTCTCATGTTACATTGAATGACTTGTTGCTGCTCATCATCTCATCATTATCAGTATTGTAGATAGGAACAATGTTACACTGATTCAGGCAAATCTGGACCCTGGTAGTTCTAGGTGCGAGCACTGTTAGCTCTGAGTACAGGGGGACAATTCAGCACTGTTAGTTCTGAGTACAGGGGGACAATTCAGCACTATTAGATCTGAGTACAGGGGGACAATTCAGCACTGTTAGCTCTCAGTACAGGGGGACAATTCAGCACTGTTTAGTTCTCAGTACAGGGGGACAATTCAGCACTGTTAGCTCAGAGTACAGGGGGACAATTCAGCACTGTTAGCTCAGAGTACAGGGGGACAATTCAGCACTGTTAGCTCTGAGTACAGGGGGACAATTCAGCACTGTTAGCTCTGAGTACAGGGGGACAATTCAGCACTGTTTAGTTCTCAGTACAGGGGGACAATTCAGAACTGTTAGATCCGAATACAGGGGGACAATTCAGCACTGTTTGATCTAAGTACAGGGGGACAATTCAGCACTGTTAGCTCAGAGTACAGGGGGACAATTCAGCACTGTTAGCTCTGAGTACAGGGGGACAATTCAGCACTGTTTAGTTCTCAGTACAGGGGGACAATTCAGCACTGTTTGATCTGAGTACAGGGGGACAATTCAGCACTGTTAAATCTGAGTACAGGGGGACAATTCAGCACCGTTTAGATCTGAGTACAGGGGGACAATTCAGTACCGTTTAGATCTGAGTACAGGGGGACAATTCAGCACTGTCAGTTGTGGACACAGGGGGACAATTCAGCACTGTTAGTTGTGGGCACAGGGGGACAATTCAGCACTGTCAGTTCTGAGTACAGGGGGACAATTCAGCACTGTTAGTTCTCATGCACTGTTAATTCTCATGCACACGGGTGGGGTTGCAGTGTGATCTTACCTGCTCTGATCTGTAGGCAGCTGCTGCACAGCAGGGCTCCCAGTACACACAGTGCAGAGGTGACACCTGAGGCCATGACTGCTGCGTGCAAACCATGAAAATCCGTCTATAGTCCGCTCCATACACGGCCTCCCCCGACTGCCCCCAGCTCCATAGCCCCGACTGGCCCCCTCCAGCCCGTAGCTTGTGGCCGGTCTGGCAGCACGCAGAGCGGACTGACGTCACCGAGTGTAGGAGAGGCAGAAAGTTTCCTCAGACTAGGGCTAGGCAAAGCTCTCCTGAGATTTCATTACTCCCGGGAGGTGTCTGGAGAGGGGAAGGGAGGGGGGTCTCCGCCATGCTCATTCCCTCTGGAGAGTGTGATCAGGACGGGGAGGGGAAAGGGAGGAGGTCTGAGGCGGACTCATTCCCTCAGCAGTGTGTATTCCCAGAGCTCGATGTGGAGGTTGAGCACGTTGTACACACGTAGCAGGGTTTGTGTACACGGGGCCTTGAACAAGTTCGAGATTGCTTT